CTGAGCATCTTCAAACGTGTATCTGCCGCCATCTTTGACATTCTGACTGGTTATCTCATAGCTGTGAGAATCCAGGTTGATGGCACTTGGGGCTCCTGGAGCCAGAAATTCTTGCCAGATTTCTTCTACCCTTCTGGCCACATCCTGGAGGGGTTGTTTTTTGAGCTCTTGGACGGCCAGCCAGAACCTGGAACGGAAAGCAGAAACAGACAATTCTATCTGGGCACCTAGCAAATGCTACATATAATTTGATGCCACATATGGGTCACAAAAACCACGGAGCAGGGGGAGAGAGGGACTTCAGAAAGTACAAAGAACTCATTGGAAGATCAACAAACTCCTGGCAACCAACAAAAGTCCAAAGATTTCTCAGCTTCAGTGCCATTGCCATTTCAAGATGGGTGATTTTTGTTTTTAAAAGTGGTAGTAGTGGGGTTGTCCTATGCCTTGTAGAATGTTAAACAGCAGCTATGATCTCTGTTCATTAGATGTCATTGTACTCCCCAAGTTAGGACAATGGAAGATGTCTCCAAATGTTGCCAGATGCATTTGGTGAGGTAAAAAAAAAAAAAAAACCTACCTGGTTGAGATTGGTGTTAAAGACAGATAAATCAAGTTGTTCACAATTGTGTTTAACATAGTGCAGGGCTTACAGTACGTGGACAATAATGACATTTAGATAGAAGGTGGGCTTGTCTGGCACAATGGGATATACATGAGAGACATGTCTACCAAGAAATTCTCCAGAGAGGACCAGGGGAAAATCTCTACCCATCACCCTCAGCATTTGACAAGGAGCTGCCATCATCACAGCCTCCTATGAGCATCTCTCTGCTGAGAGTAGCAGCAACCTCACTCACAGCCTGAACAGCAGCTCCCAAGTCCTGAGGACCACATTTCAGCAGGAACCAGAGCTGGACAAACCAATTCCCCAACAGTAAGAGGCTAGGTCCAATGATAGGTGGTTCTGACAGCTAATCTAGTCAATGAAAGGTGATGACAAAAGAAATTGAAACCACACATGGTGGAAAGTACTTTGAGCTTCATTCAAAGCAAGATGCACTTGTTTGAGAAAAAATAATAATAAAATAGATTTAAAAAAAAAGGTTAGGCATGTGTTCCTGTTGCTGTTCAGACATGAATGCTGTTCAAATGAATGGCCTGAAGGCGCCACTCAGTGGCCGACTGGGGTAATACAGGCCCATTTCCGCAAGAACAGATCTGTGTTGGTTTTCATAATGAATGCTGGACTCCAGGTCTCCCCCTGATTTAGGATTCTGATGATGTCCTTAATGAAAAACTTCACAGCTCTCTCGCGGATCTTGAAGAACCAAGAGAAATGCAGGGAAGGCGACAACAGCCCTTGATAAGAACAATGGGGAGCCTGGTTATGATGATGTCTTGATGTACCTTTCTAGGTGCCTCAATCCTCATCTGTGAAACTGGCACCAAGGGAGTATAGACAGATGAAGCATAGGCTTAAAAAATTCCCATCCAGACTTAACTCAGTTACCAAAGGCGTGCGTGGGTGCTGAGGAGGGTCAGTGACACCCGAGAGGCTCAACTCTCCCGGCTTGACCCCAAATTTCAAGCTTCTTCCTGTAGGAGCTTCCAGGGCTCTTGCTAACGCTGTCAACCATCTTCTGCCTCTCTTCTTAAAATGATTATTATCTTTAAGTAGTTGTACAAAGGGGTTCAGTTCATCCCCTTCCTACAACCCCAGCCCTCCTACTTTCTACCCCTAGGGCTTTTGCACCATGTTCTTTCCACTACCAGGGAGAAGAGAACGTGTAACTGTCCTTTAGAGGGACGAGGGCTTTGCAACACACACTGCTACTGCCCATGGGCAGGTGGAGAGCCCAGGATGTTGCCTCTGGGCTGAGGCTCTGTCTGGCTGCAAGCAACTTTCCAGATCAGTGTCCTTCCCTGCAATGTCTAAGCGATGGACGCCCCTGAGTGATTTCCTGTCCCCTCCATCAATGCCATGTGGGATGCCATCTTCTGGCAGCTCTGTTGCTTGCTTTAGTCTGCTCTGAGGAGGTGCTTTGGACCCCCTCTGGGAAGGCTCTGATGACTCTCTAGACTTCCCTTTGTGTGTAGAGAAGGTTGAAAGGCTGGAGCTGGTAGACCAGATTTAATAAACATTGACATACAAATCCAGAGGCTTCCTCTGTTAGCTAAAACGGTGGATTGATCCAAAAGCTCCACCTGGGATCATGGGAGGAAGGGGAGAAGGGGAGGAGAGGTGGAAAGGGGAGAAGGAAGAAGAGGGGTAAGGAGTAAGGGCAACATCTCTCAACTGCTTTCTCTCCCTGCAGAGGTAGGGATGCAGCCCAGCCTTCTGTTTGCCTTGGACATGACCTGCCTCGTCCCTCCCAGACGACAGCAAAACCGCAGTCACAGCAGCATCTTGACGCCCCATATGTATTTACCATCACAGCTTCGAAAAACCCTTTGTGCCCATTTGAAATTCAGAACAGGCTCCAGTGTGTGTTTGCTATCTTCCAGCTGCACAGTCCTGAGCTCCCAGCTCAGGCCAACCCTCCCTCCCCCAAAGAACCACGAAAGCATCTCTCTGCATAGCTACTGCGCATGGGTGGCCCACTGAGGCTCCAGAAGCTCTGGCTCTTATCAAAAGCCTGCAGGCCCTGTCCCTCTGAGGACGTGGAGGGGCTTCCAATGCCAGCCGCAGCGTCAAATCCACCCATCCTGCACTAAGCCCCCATGGCTGGCAGCAGAGGGCCGCAGGCCTGGACACAGGGGGTTCTGGGGTGTGGGAAGACCACCTGTCCTGCTGCCCCCTGCCAATCCTCAGATCAGCAGGAAGCCACCTGCCCGTGTGCTGGCATTTGGTCTGTGTTGATGGCTTAGCAATGAATGTAGGTGGGGACACCAGCCTTGAGGGAAGGCAGCCAGGCTCCAGAAACACTGGCTGGGCAAGGCACTGGTGGCTTATGTCTGTCATCTGAGCTCTACTCAGGAGGCTCAGATCTGAGGATTATAGGTTGAAGCCAACCTGGGCAGAAAAGTCTATGAGACTCTTCCCTTCAGTTAACTGCCAAGATGCTGGGAGTAGAGCTGTGACACAAGGGGTAGAGCCTTGGGACAGCATCTAAACTTGGAGTTCAAGCCCTAGTACTGACACAAAAAAATAAATTTAAAAAAAAGAAAGAAACACTTGCTGGAGCCATCGTGGTGGCTGGGACTACCATGTGGGTCTCCTTTCTTCCTGATTGCTGATAGGCTGGCTGGAGCAAGAGAAATCCAGAGTCATTCATCCTCTCCAGCCTGCTCAGAGGCCTGAGCAGTCCCTCAGTTACCAGCTTACCTATTTTGCTTTTCTCACAAAGTAGAATTTCCCGGAGTTAGAAAACACAGCTTTGGCATTGTTCTGGGGATAAGCAAATTCGACAACAGAACGAAGCGTTTCTGTGTCCTCTGCTGGTCAGCCAGGGGTGGAGGACAGTGGATTAAACAATTTTGTCTCACGTTGGGCTGAGATTTCTCACTGGCAACCACCATGGTGAGGCGCCGTGGAAGCTGAGCTCTGTTCCTGGGCAGTGGCCAGATGGCTGCCAACGTGCAAGGCATTGTGGGAGACACTCGGCTCCCATTCATCATGGGTTTGGTCGGTGGTGGGGTGGGGGGATCCTGTGGGGCCTAGTGAACCTTTGGAGGTCTTCCTAAGGACTTGGGGCAACTACTGGAGATGGAGCACTCCAGGCAAACCTGGCACCTCCCCTGGGCTCTCTTTTAATTGCCTCTCCTTTCACAGAGCTGACACAGTGTGGACCTAGCATCATCAATCTGCAGGTTAGAAGAAGCACTCCATTCTCTCAGGCAATGACGTCACAGCTCATAAAAAATGTACGGGGAGGGGGTAGGGGGGGAAATGCTCTTTGTTGCAGGTTTTGATTTTTAACTCATGCCCTACCATACCACAGAGGGTGTCAAGCCAGGGAAGGCAAAGGTTTGTACAGGGGACACTGTGTAAGGTAACTGTCACCGTGCTTGGAAAAGTCACCACACCGGGGATGATTTGGTGACACTTCTTGTTTGAAGAATGAAATGGTTCCCGCCTGATGGGTGAGGAATTGTACTCATTCCGCACTCCCTGCCAGCAGACAGCTGCCTTGTGGGGTCCCACACCGGGGCTCAGGGTAGTTCACAAGGACAGGAAGCCTGTCATTGGGGGATGGCAGCCCTCTCGCACCTCAGACTCTCTCAGAAGGAAAGGTCAGATTTTTATACCATCAGAGAATGCTTTACTTGAATGGTATAGAAGACACTTTAGGGCTCCTTCTCCCTCCCGCTTCAGCAGCTCGGCAATTTCTCAGACACTCCGTGAGGGGATGCGGGACACAAGTGGGAGAGGCAGGTTGGAATAGATCCAGTTGGGTTTGAGACTCTCCTTCCCTCCTCTAATCCTCTGATCCGAGCAACCTGAGCTCTTGACCAGTCCTGAAAGAAGGGTCAACTGCAATAGAGCCAACAGCACCAAAGGGCAGGACCCTCAATTGAGTGATTCACGTTATGCGGTTCCCTGGGCTGCCATGCTTGTGCAGGGCTGCAGCGGAAATACACCTGCCTGGCCACACACGGCCACCCTGGGTGAACCATAAACCGATCTTCTCCAAATCCTTGGGGCCTGGGTCGTGAGAGGTGATGATCCAATACTGTGGCTACAGGAAAGAACAAAGGACAAAAGGAGCGATGCTAGGACCCAAGGGTCCTATATAGTCGTGACTTAAAACCGAGACTTTACCTCTATATCCAGTCATGCTAGATATCATAACCATGGAATTTGGGACTCCAGAAAGGGTTTTAGAAGTCCTAAGCCACGCTTCCTCTCTATGTCCCCCTTTGCTGTCATGGATCAGAGAGGTCCCTCTTTATGTCTGGATTTATGTGCGCATGCTGGGTGTGAGCACATTCTCATGCATACGGGTAAATTTCTTTCATCCCAGATTGCACTGTGGCCCTCCTGGGTAAAGAGCTGGCAGAGACCCAGCTGGTAATGGCAGGAAGTGTTGAGCGCCTGCCAGGGCCATACTCCTCGGTGCACGTGGGGCCCTGTGTCATGCGTATTGCCTGAATCGAGCCTGATTTCATAGGTGGCCCTGGCTACACGGTAGCTTTCCAGAATGAACACTGGACCTGGCAAGGCGGCAGCTGAGAGAGTAGATGCTCCTAGAGTTCTCACAGTGATGAGGACCCGGTGGTCATCCTTCAGACTCCCTGTAAGAGTGCAGGGGGAAGAGGCCCATGCATGGGCTGGGAAACAGTCAGGCAGAGTTGCTGCTATACCAACTGCATCTTGGGGACCAAAGGTGGCTAGGGATGAGGAGAGTGAGAAGGAATCCTAGGTGTGGCTCATAGGTACCATACTAAGGGTGGAAATGGGGACTGAGCTGGGCATATAGACTAGCTGCTGGGCTCATAAAGTTGGGCCTATAAGGATTTACTGGCTACCTTGGCTGGAGGATGATGTGAGCACTGCTCTAGTGGGCGATATCAGAACACAGCCCTTCTGGGTGTCACAAAGACTTTATTAAGAATGAAACCAGGGGCTGGGAAGGTGGCTCAGTGGTAGAGCGCTTGCCTCACATGCATGAGGCCCTGGGTTCGAGTCCTCAGCACCACATAAGCCGAAGAAGCCAGAAGTAGCACTGTGGCTCAAGTGGTAGAGTACTAGCCTTGAGCTGAAGAGCTGAGGGACAGTGCCCAGACCCTGAGTTCAAGCCCCAGGACTGGCAAAAAAACAAAACAAAAAGCAGGGCTGGGAAGGTGGCTCAGTGGTAGAGTGCTTGCCTTGCATGCATGAGGCCCTGGGTTCCATTCCTCAGCAACACATAAGCAGAAAAAGCTGGAAGTGGTGCTGTGGCTCAAGTGGTAGAGTGCTAGCCTTGAGCTGAAGAGCTGAGGGACAGCGCCCAGGCCCAGAGTTCAAGACCCACAACCGACCAAAAAAAAAAGAATGAAATCTCTTTGAGATATGTTTAGAAGAATGCTGCAGTATTAAGAAAGGACTCTTGTGTCATAACCTAAAAGTAAGATACTCAACCTTGTCTGGCTCATAACAGGCAGATGGATGCTTAGAATGGAATATACAACCCTGCCAGCCTAATGGCTAAGCTAGTAATCAAGTGGTCAATGTGATTGGCCTAAGAAGTGCCTACGAGACTGGTGAGGCACGTCTCTGGTGGGCTGGTCAGGAGAGGATTAACTAAAGGGGGAAAGACCCGCCCTGAATGTGGGCAGCACCATCCTAGCTGCTGGGGGCCCACATGGAATAAAAGGGAAAACAGGAGAGAGCTGACAGTACTGGTATCATCTTCTTCTCCTCTTTCTGCTTCCTGGCTTCCATGATATGATGTGCCATGCCCTACCAGCCATCATGGGCCATCAGCTCTGAAACTGGGAACAAAATAAATCCTTTCTCCCTTGAATCATGTCTCTCAGATGCTGATCATAACCATGCAAAGTCACACGCGCGCACGTGCGCGTGCACACGCGCACACACACACACACACACACACACACACGTGCGCGAGCAAGCGCTCCTTGGCTAATTCAGGCTCTTGCTTTAGAATAGTCTTCCTGCCTCTTCTTTGTCATGTGTCTTTGACTTGTGTATTCTTCCATGTCTAGCTTCTGACTTGTCTGCTCTGGCTTACACTGAAATACTTGCAAAAAATGATCTTAGAATTTACTCTTATTTATATCCATTTAATAATGTAATAGTTGTGTGTGTGTGTGTGTGTGTGTGTGTGTGTGTGTGTGTGTTCTCCCCCTTCAAAGACCTACAAGGTTGTTGTAAGAGGAGATCACATGTCTTGATGGCTCAGCAGGCCCTTAGCAGACTCTGAGAACTTGCTACCACACACAGGTGCCACAACTATCTTCTGAGTCATATGGAGGAAAGAGAGGACCTCTAACTTCAAACAAGTAACATGGGTTTCCCACATTCACTTGGGAGAAGACAGTTATTTCCTGAAGTATATGCTCTGAATAGTTAAAATAAAAATGACAATAAAATGAATAAAACAGTATTTTAATCAAGAAATTAGCCTATCATATTAAAGAAAACCAGAGAGAGACAGAGATACAGACAGACAGACTGACAGACTGACTTCCACCTTACACATGGAGATGTCACGGTTTGTTAAGGTCACTAAGGGGTCCCAGGCAAATCACATTTTTGTGACTGGAACACAGTAAATGGATGAGTAAGTCCCCAGTTCCTCCATTTTTCATGCCCAAGAACCCTCTTCCTTTATTCTGTCACCTCCTCTTCCTCTCACATTGGATGCCATGTTTTGGATGCTTCATTTTTTTCTCCTAGTACACAGTAATCATTAGCACATTCCTCTCACAAGGGATTAGTTATCCACCAGGAAAAAGTACCAGCTTCTGTAGGTAGTGTCAGATGATTGGAGTGACGAAACTAACAGAATTCTATCCAAAAGGAATATATGTTTACTTGACTTGGTTAGCTACATCTCCAGTTGCAGAATGATAATGATTTTTTTGTTCTGGTCCTGGGACACTGTCTCTGAGCTTTTGTGCTCAAGGCTAGTGCTCTACCACTTGAGCCACAGCTCCTTCAACTTTCTTTCTTTTTTTGGTGGCTAATCAGAGATAAGAGTCTCACAGATTTTTCTACCTGAGTTGGCTTCCAACCATGATCCTCAGATCTCAGCCTCCTCAGGAGTTAGGATTACAGTCATGAGCCCTTGGCACCCAGCTTGATTTTCTTTGAAAACTTTTTTTTTTAAAACACTCTGAAATGAGCTCATCAGCTCCTCTCTTGCGTATTTACCCTTTCAAACCTCGTCATCCCCTCTCCCCACCCCGAATCCTTGTGATTAAACAGCTTTGTAGAGAGATGTCATACAGGGTTCCTCCACTCTGAAGCTCCATGGTTCTATGGTGTTACTCAGTGAGTGGTATGGTCAGATCCGTTTGATTATTAAATAAGACCCCTATCCAGGGAGTTAAACAATGTGACCCAGACTCAGAATGACATATTTGCTGGCATTGATAGTTGCTTTCACGGTGGTGGCAGAGTTGTATATTTCAACTTGCTCTTTCATAGTTCAACCTTAGCCAGGTGAACTGGTATTTGAATTTGAACCCTAGCAATCTTTTGTGGGGGAAGGGAAGGGCAGGGCTGATTCTGAAGACAGCTTCACACACGTTCCGTGCAAGTTCAAACCTTGGAGAGATTTACCTGAGGTTTTCTGAGCTGAACTCTGACTCCAGGAATCGGAGGAACTGGTCCCGCCCCACGTGATCCTTCAGTATCTCGTCGAAAGAGAAGCCCCATCTTTTGACTCGCTGCTGGCTGGGCTCTTTGCTTTGGGGGTGAGAGGAGAAGGTGTGCAGAATGATTAGTATGAGGCAGAGGCCTGCGTCATATTCTCTTCAACAACTCAAATCTGTTTTGCTGCCACACGTCAGTGGGAAATGTCTCACAGGTAAGCAACAGAGTTCATAAAGCACACACCTATCCCAAATGCAGACTTTTGTCCACCAATAGTAAACCATGTCAAAAGGTTCTGTAAAGGGTGTGTGAGAAAGGACTGTGATTGGCTGGGGAGTAAGCAGGGTAACCACCAAGCGGCTGCTTTGACAAGAAGTGAATCCTCACTCAAACAGAGGTCCCACATTTGACCCAATCAGTTTTCCAAAACTCAGGATGCTTCATGAATCCAATCCTTCATCCAAGATACTGCCCCTCATCTCCTACCCCTTCCTCAACCCCCAAAGGGGAAATTAATGTCTGGTTAGAACTGAGTGATACGTTCCTGGTCAGCAAATACATCATTCATCCAGGATAAATCAATTCACTTGTTTAGAAGGAGCCTGCTGCGTTCACTTAATGATACCTTTACCATGCACAGGGCTATGACATGACATGCTAGGCATTGTTCTAGGCATTTTACACATCCAAAGGCATTGAATCAGTCCTTATAACTGTATTATGAGAGAGGAACTGGCAGCACATGCCTATCATCATAGCTACTCAGAAGACAGAGACAGGAGCTGTGGTTTGAGGCCAGTCTGGGCAAAAGGTTACTGAGACTGGAGCAAAAATAAACTTGGCACCAGTGGCTCACCTCTGCAATCCTAACTACTCAGGAGGCTGAAATCTGAAGATTACGGTTCAAAGCCAGCCCAGGCAGGAAACTCCGTGAGACTCTTATCTACAATTAACCACCAGAGCAAAACTGGAAGTAGTGCTGTGGCTCAAGTGGTAGAGCGTTCACCTTGAGCTGAAGAACTGAGGGACAGCGTCCAGGCCCACAGTTCAAGCCCCATGACTGACAAGATAAATAAATAAAAATAAATAAACCAGGCATAGTGGCCCATGCCTGTGATCCTGGCTGCTCTGGAGGGGAAGATAGGAGGATCACTGTCTGAATCTGACCCTACAAAAAATGTAAGTTCCTATCTCAAATAACACTGAAAGCAAAATGACTGAAAGCATGGCCTTGTGTGCAAGCTCAATACACATGCACATACAACACACACATGCACGCGTGCACACACACACACACATACACACATACACACACAGCTTTAGCGTTATTCCTACTTTCCAGATAGTACTTTGAGGTCTCCAGACAGTCTGTCTCAGATACAGAGCTAGGAAGCCGTAGAGTCAAGAATTCAGTCTAGCTGGGCGCCAGAGGCTCACGCCTGTAATTCTAGCTCCTGAGGAGGCTGAGATCTGAGGGTCATGGTTCAAAGCCAGCCTGGGCAGAAAAGTCCGTGAGACTCTTATTTCCAATAAACCACTAAAAAACCAGAAGTGGCGCTGTGGCTCAAACTTGAGCTGAAGAACACAGGGACAGCGTCCAAGCCCAGAGCTCAAGCCCCATGACCGACAAAACAACAAAAAAGAATCTAGTCTAGAAATGTCATGCTAGAGAGAAGTCTGTGATTCACTGTGCACTTTGGAGCCCCTTTGTCCCATAACCTCACACGCAGATGAAGAGCAGGGCTTCATCTTATTCTTCTAGTATTAGGCTGAGAGAATATGCCTTCAGTCTCTGTCCTTTATGTAAAGTTTACCTGCTGCATTTATACCTCAACTTCCATGCAGCAACAGGATTCCAACTCCCAGGGTGCATTTCACAACTCCTCCTGGTCAAGGTGTGGTCTGTGCACCAGGCAGAATGGTAGGCCCCACCCAGACCTGCTCCACTAGGACCCTCCAGTCCAGCAGGATCCCCAGGTGACTGACAGCCATGCTAACACTTGGATTACACTTGTCTACCAACCATGCCTCCTCTTTTTAGAAAAAGACACATATTTTTATTACTTCTAACAGTTCAGTGAATAAAACCACGTTTCCTCTTATTATAGAGCTGGCATAGTCCCAGTTTTTAAGTTATGAAATCACACTTAGTAAAAGGAAGAGAAGTTGTATGGTAGAACCCTTGACAAAAAAGCAAACAGACCAGCATTGTCCAAGAGAACTTTCTGTGAAGGGGAAGCTATTCTCTATCTCTACTTGCCAATATGGTAGCCATATATGACAACTGAATGCTTGAAAGGTAGAGAGCATGATTGATGAGCTGAGTTATTCAATTGCATTCAAACCTGAAATCATCTAAGTTCAAATTTAAATAGCCACACGTGGCTAGTGGCTACTGTATTAGTTACATGGCTCTAGACATAAGCCATTCACATCCAATGCTTCTGCACTGCTAGATGCAATTGGTGACACCAGTGTCTTCTACTCCAGGGCAGTGAACCAGGGAGACTCTTGCTGTACAACTTCGTATCACCAATCATAGCTCAGCAGGATCTCAGTGGTAGGAGAAGCCTATCCAATCCAACAATAAGGAAGTTCACAAAAGATCTCTTTCGAAGTACCAGGCTGTCTTTTCTAACAAGACGTGAAGACAAGCTACTGAAGTAATTAAACTCAGTAACTTTCCAGTGGACCAAGAATACTGTGTGTGGAGGCATTACATTGGGATTATTATTTTTTTTGGGGGGGGGGGTCCCGGTTGTGGGGCCTGAACTCTGGGCCTGGGCGCTGTCCCTCAGCTCTTCAGCTCAAGGCTAGCACTCTACCACTTGAGCCACAGCGCCACTTCTGGCTTTTTTCTGCTTATGTGGTGCTGAGGAATTGAACTCCGGGCCTCATGCATGCAAGGCAAGTGCTCTACCACTGAGCCACCTTCCCAGCCCCTACATTTGGATTAATGAGGCTGAGTTGCAAACTGAAGTCCCACGGAAGTACAGGATATCATATCTTTCTTCTCAGTTCCTGCTCTGATCTGGGATGAACACACTAACTGCTCTGCTATTCAAGGATTCGGGATTCTGCATGGCGCTGCTGATGGGAACTCGGTCGTGTAGCAACTAGCTCATGGATACATGGCCACCTCCAGTGTGTCGTCGCAGTGAATCCACCTCACCTCACTGATGGCAGGGATGGGGATAAGGAAGTTGGGGGGCTGGGCAAGAAGTCTTAGGATGTCATTGTAGAAGTGGAATCAGACAGAGGACCAGGATGGAAGTCAGTGATGTGCAAAAGACAGACACTAGGGGGTCTGCAGGATGCCCTGGTGAATTAGTTTCTGGAGTTGCTATCACAGAGTCATAATAAACTGAGTGACTGTGAAAACAGAAGCTTATTGTCTCACAGACTTGGCGCTAGAGGTCCAAAATCCAACTGTTAGCAGGGCCATGCTCCCTCTGAAGGCTTTTGGGGAAAATCTGTTCCACACTTTCCCTTCAATCTCTGATGCTGTCAGCAATCCCTGACTTGTAGATCTATCTCTGCCTCTGTTCTTAAGCAGCATCCTTGTATGTGTGTGTGTGTGTGTGTGTGTGTGTTAGTCCTCTCCTTCTTCCTCTCCCTCCCTGTCCCCTGTTCATATGTATCTCTGTTTTCTTCTTATAAAGAAACCAGTCATGTTGGATTAGGAGCCCACTCTCCTCCAGGATGACCTATCTTAATTAATTGCATCTATGGCCACCTTATTTCCAAATAAGGTCTGATTCTGAGGTTCTACAAATAATAGAGATTTTGAGGTGACAATATTTAACCTGGCATACCTGGGTCCCCTCAGCTACCCATCATACACAATCCTCTTTTTTACATTTGTCTATTCTATATCAGCTCCTTTTCTTTCCTTCCTAGAAGTACTTGGCCATTGTGATTTTGTTCTATTAAAAGTTTCTAGGGCAGGCCACAGTGGCTCACGCCTGTAAGCCTAGCTTCTTGGGAGACCAGAAATCACAATTAGAAGTCAGCTCAGGCTGGGCATGGTGGTGCATATCTATTATCCAACGATGGGGGAAACACAATGACTGGGAGAGGTGGCATGTGCCTATAATCCTGGTGACATGGGGAAACACAAATGGAAGGAGTGAAGTCCATGCCAGCCTGGATATAAAGTGACATGCTACCTCAAAGAATAATGAACACAATAAGAGCTGATAAAATGCTCAAGTGGTAGAACACCTGCTTAGCAAGCAGGAAGACTTGAGTTCATATCCCAGTACCACCAATAATAAGTTTCTGGGAAGTATTGCTGTGGCTCAACAGGTCAAGCACTAGCCTTGAGTAAAAAAGCTAAAGGTACAGTTACCTAGTCCCCGAGTTCAAGCTCCATTACCCGTGCATACACGCACATACACATTTCTGGATAAAACTTTCGTGTGTGTGTGTGTGTGTGTGTGTGTGTGTGTGTAATAAAGGAAAGCCTTTATTACTTGAATATTTCCAACATCATTCACTTTAAGGTTCAAGAATGTATTTGAACATATTGCTACTATGGAATTTCTTTTGCTGTAGTAAAAGAAATCTAAAACTTTAAATATGTCTTGGTGTTTAACAGGTACAAATGTCAAGAAACAATTCATGGAAGTTACAGTCCCTTTATTTACATCCACTATGCAAAAATGCTTTTCTTTCTTTCTTTCTTTTCTTTCTTTCTTTCTTTCTTTTCTTTCTTTCTTTCTTTCTTTCTTTCTTTCTTTCTTTCTTTCTTTCTTTCTTTCTTTCTTTCTTCTTTCTTTCTTTCTTTCTTCTTTCTTTCTTTCTTTCTTTCTTTCTTTCTTTCTTTCTTTCTTTCTTTCTTTCTTTCTTCCTTCCTTCCTTCCTTCCTTTCTTTCTTTATCTCTCTCTCACACACACGTACTCACACACACACACACACACACACACACTCACACTCACTCTCTGTCTGTCTGTCAATTTGGGGGCTTGAATTCAGGGTCTGGGTGCTGTCCCTGAGCTCTTTTGTTCAATGCTGGCCCTCTACCATTTTTGAGCCACAGTGTCACCTCCAGTTTTGGAGTGGTTAATTGGAGATAAGAAGCTCAAGGGGA